TTGTATTTCTAGGATACATGCTAGGATAGGAACTTCCTATGTCTAACATATATTATATTTACATACTAGAGGATATAAAGAAGAGTTGCTGTTAATAGAATTTAAAAATGAACATATACTCGATGATATAACGACAACTGGTTTATATTTGTTTTTTATTTGATATGAGAGAACACACGGCAAATTGACTGTTAAACTTGTACTATTTTGTTTGTTACAGACATACTAAGGAACATTTCAAAGAATGGCATCTAGTGGTTCGTATTCTGAACAAGTGATAGATCTTCATAATAAAATGGTGCTTGAGATAAGCGATATGATATTTGAGGGATGTGACTGCTGGGATAAACTTCTTGGCATTTTAAGTGGCAGTCCACTGACCCCTAAAGAAAAGGGTTCAATCAAATCCATACATGATCTGTTTGAAGTTCTCATGATGAAGCAAGAAATCAATTATGGCGACTATGAGAAATTGAGAAAAAAAATGAGCGTCATTCACAAACTCGCGGCAACTAAAATTAAGAACTATGAAAGCAAGATACAGACACAGCTTGAACTGGATGAAGAAGGTAAACATCAAGTTTAGATCAATTTTGTCCTGTACACATTATGTAACATGCCTATGTCATTGTTGTACAAACTTGTGTTAATATAATAATAATGTTCATAAAAGAAAATAATAATAATAATTGTACTTAAGCTATTGTAACCTTTTGTTTGGTGTGTCGTGATTACACTATTGTAATTATGATGTCAAGTATTGGACAGTTCCTACAACACTGTATTTACAGTGATTATATGCGTTATATATTCTTATTTGGATCAATTCAAATTCAAAACGACACTGAATAAAAAAGTATTGCTTCCACTTTCTGTAAACTACTCTATTCCATTTATTGGCATAATTTGAGAATATGTTTGTCGTAGTGATTTTTCATATTGGTATATTTTGCACACCAATTTATAGTTTTATATTTACTTGTAACTTTAAGCGTTTTCTCTACTGGTTTTAAATGTTCATGCTATTTTGAACATAATATTTTTATATCAAGAATCACCGAAAGTTGAGAAAAGCAGAAGGTCGGAAAACAAAGAAGAAACTGGAGGAAGATTGCGAAGCGCAAAGGGAGACAGCAAAGGGAGAAAAAGACGTGAATCTAGCAGGTGAATAAAGTTACGCCAGAATAAACCGGTCATATACTGATTTAGCCAGAGCGAGTGTAGAAAGATAAGAGTTTGATACAGCTTACGTTAATAAGACACTCGAACCAGACATGCACACCCTGGTTACATATAAAAATATTATTAGTTACACAGTTTGTTAGTAACCTAATACGGAAAAATATTGGGTCTAAAAGAAACTTGTATCGGGCCTTGATAGTGTTGTCAGCATTTACTTACACCCGCTTTGTTAATATTTCATCGGCTGTCGTCTGCACAAACCGCTTGGTCGCCATCTTGTTACAAGTTGACGCTTATGGGCAAAGAACGATAACTCTTTCGTACTCACCTAATGTGAGATTCTACTGACCTAATATGAAAATATACTGGATATCATGTGACGTCGTTTTAACCATTAGGACTACAGGATTTTTGCCTGAGGCGGGATAATGTCGTTTATCCAGTAGGAAAATTACATTTTGACATAAAAAATTATGGTATATGCATTTTTGTTTATGTTCACATTCTACCATATGATGAATATTGTTTTAGGACAGTGACAGATGTTGAAAAACGGAAATTACACGCCGATATGGTCCAAGAACTAAGCGAGGAACTTAGCATGCACATGGGCGATGAATGGGCTTCATTCAAAAATAATATGAGATATAAACTGAGTTTTGGTGGAGCTGTACTGGAGGGTATCACTGATATGTTTAGCGCCTGTAAGAAAATGATGGCCAAAGGAAAAATCGATATTGGAAAATACGATAAGCTGATTGAAGTTGTGGAACCTATCGACAAGAATCTAGTTGATATCATCAACGAATACTTGAAGAAGATGGGCATCGAACCCACCCCGAAAAAGAAACTGATGCGCACAAGGTCATCTGATTCTTCGTAGATGACCGTGAAGTATGTATTTACAATAAACTAACTTACAATTCATCCAAGTCCATGCTGACTTTTGTCTTGATGTGTGTAATTTTAATAAGAGCTTTACTTTTCACTAGTTTATAAACAAAATGCTCCTTTTTTATTGAATATCAGTCACAGTTCATCTTTTGAGAGAAATACAATAACAGATCTTTACCTATGGAATAATTCATCACGTGTGTTGAAATATAACATGCATGTTCAAGAACAAAACTTTTTGAATGCCATATGATATCTTAAATAATCAAAAAGCATTGAA